CTACACAACACTTGTAAAAGCATCAAATAGGAAGTAAGAAAAGAATATCTTGAGAGAAGGAAGTAGCAAAACCAAACTAGAAGTGTATTCTACTTAGTAGGCAATCATCCACCAGGAAACATTGACCTTTTTTAGATGTTAAAACCATCAATTTGATGAGCAATACTAATAGCAAAATGTAAATTTGGTCAAGGCCTTTGAGTTATAATTACAGAGCCATTGTTAATTGCATGTGTGAAGACTTGAGTTGATTTGAATGCTTTTAAATGAAATACAATTTGGTAGGGTGCTCATTCTCTTTTTTTTTACACATAACCTTTCCTCCCAAAAATAAGAATTTACAAATAACCGAGCGTCTTTGTTTTTTAAACCTGAAGTGACGATAGCTGTTGAAAGATTGTTCCAGAAAAAATAAATGGATTTTAATCTACGTAACCTGGTCCTCTCCAGCTGAACTCCCAAGTCGAGAGTGCTTACATCCAGTCATAGATTGTTTTTGAGGATGAATCTGAATTCAGGATGGTTAAAGAAAAAAATTTGTTTGGAATTAGTCACACGTTTTAGTTTGGTAAATTATTCACTGGCTTGAAACAGTTTTATATGATTTGATTCACTTCCTTTCACATAAAAATTTACCAATGATGTTATTTCTATGACTTGTCATATGGTAGTACATAATAATGCTAAAATACTATAAAAACTGACAGTGCTACTTATGTTATCCATTCGTTAGGGACAAAGTATTGAGCCAGATCTCAGATGGTCTTTGGGGAATAATTAGATCAGAGGATGGAATGAAAAGTGAAATCACAGAAACAGTGCAATCTGTCTACAATAAATTAGTAAATCCTGGAGGGAACAAAGAGGTTGAATCATCTACCGGTGTTACCACACCTATTGTTAAGGGAACCATTGATAATAGTTCCATCAAGGCTTCTGTAGGTGAAGTTGGTCTAACAATCTCTGATAATGAGCCAAGAGAACCACCAGGTTTCACTCTGTCTAATAATCATCATGTCAATAACAATGATAAGCAACATGAAAATGAAGTGCAGCTACCTATGCCTTGTGATAAAGGACATGAAGGCCAGAAGGAAGACTCTCGACATTCAGCAAACATGCTGGAGGCGGATGATGCTGATCACAGTTTGCCACCTGGCTTTTCTGCAGATGTTGAGCAAAAGCAGCCATCTGACGGTAGTGATGAGGACCCTGAAGTCCCTCCTGGATTTGGCTGATATATAATATGCAACATGGTAAGATTTTGCTGCTATGCAGACATACTATCTGGTGGATTCTGCATTCTGACTCAGTCATAATACTTCAGTCTGGCTGATAAATGGTTCAGTCATAACACTCCCCTTTGGGGGGGGGGGGGGAAGGGGCTTCAATTCCTGCCAAGTTACGGTCAGATGCTTTGGTCATATAAATGTCCAAGTCTATTAGATTATCCATTGCTTCTCAATTTTATTCTTTAGAACAATTATTCAGAGCTTTTGGAAAATGGACTTTTTAAGGGGGCTATTGTAGAGATGAGGTCAATTTTCGTTCTCATTTGTCATGTGAATAAAATCTGTAGGTGGCTGTTGTTTAGCAGAAATATATATATTTCACTAATTAGGTTACCCGTGCACATCTATCATAATACAATCTCGTGGCGAGGATATACGGGAATGCACAGCCCGACTTTATGCAACATATGTTTCATATTTCCAATGCTAACTTATGCTACTCAATGCCCTTGCTTTTATGGTATATCTGATCTTCAGAGTGTATTAGTATTGACCGTGCCCTTTATTCTCAATTTTAATATGCGAGCCTGATGGCTACAAAACTGTAAACAAGTAAAGTGGCTTTCAGGGTCCTAACAGAGATTAAGCCATTGAGTACAAAGAAGTGGGGGAAGTGACCTGCATGATTCATTTAGGACCCAAGGTTCGTGCCTGCAACCTTTTGTTCAATTGTATACTTCTCTGTAATTGTGCTGGACGTACTGACAAATCTAATGAAACCTGGTGCTATTTGTTCATAGCAGACTCTTTATTGTGATGGGTGTAAACCACTGGGTGCTGAAGGATGAATTTTCAATAATTATTAGCCACATTTTGTTTTTTGCAGAATATAATGGTTGCTTATTTTGTTCTGTTTCAAAATTCTCTCCACTCTTTTTGAATCATGGAGATTTTCCTTCAATTTACACTCTTTATTTTTTGCATGATCCTTCAGTTAGCGAATCAGATATAAATTTAGCAATTTCATCTACTTGCTTTGCTGGAGAGGTTTCCTTTAGTGC